AATAAGGGCAAAGAATCTAAAATACAGGTAAGAGAGGCATATAGAACTCCAATTAGCCATAATCAAAATAAATCTATACCCAGACATATAGTAAACAAGATCAGAAATTCAGCGAATGCAATATTAAAAACTGTTAGAAAAAAGAAACAGATTACCTATAAAGGAGAGCCCATCAGAATCACAGCAGACTTTTCAACACAAATCCTGAAGTCAAGAAGAGCTTGGTGTGAAGTATTTCAAATCCTAAAAGGAAACAATTTATCACCCACATTGATGTACCCAGCAAAACTATCTTGCAAAGTTATAGGAAAAATAGGAGATTTTCATGCCAAAGAAAAACTGATGAAATTCACAACCATCAAACCAATACTACAAAGGGTACTGAAAGGTATTCTAGATGAGAAATTAAAATGACCACAATTCAAAGAACAACAATAGAAAGAAACCACTAGGCTGTGCAAGCAAAGAATGAAGGAAAAAGCAGGGAATGGACAGCAGGAAAATACCATGATAAAGAGAAGCCAATACATAGCAGTTGCAACCATCAGTTCATCAATCAAAAGACACAGACTGGCAGAATGGATCAAGAAACAAGAACCAACATTATACTGTATATAAGAAACACATTTAAATAAAAAAGAAACTCACAGATTAAAAGTCAAAGGGTGAAAAACAATATATCATGCAATAGGAACCCAGAAAAAAGTAGGAGTAGCTATTCAGTTTTCAGACTATGTGGGTTTCAAACGAAGAATGAAAAAGAGAAATAAAGAAGGTCACTACACACTTGTTAGGGGAAAAAATTAAGAGGAGAGAATGATCTAATTGGATTTGTCTTGCTCTTCTTTTTCTGTTTTTATTTGTGCTTGTTCTATTTTTCTGATGTGAGAATTCACCACTGTAAAGTTTCCTCTTAAAACTGCTTTCATTGCATCCCACAGGTTCTGGAAAGTGATATTTGTATTTTCCTTTGATTGTAGATATTATTTAATTTCTTGTTTAGTGTAACTTGTGGCCTAGTGGTTGTTCAGGAGGGTGTTATTTAATTTTTATATCAAGAAGATTTAAAAATTCTGAATAACCTAATATCAGTTAATGAAATTAAAAACATAACTAAAAACTTATGAAAAAAAATTTCAGGTTCTGATGTATTCACAACTGAGTTTTACAAGAAATTTAGAGAACATTTAATGTAAATACTCCACAAACTCTTTAATGAAATTGAAAGGAAAGCAATTCTCCCTAATTCATTTCTGGAGGCAAATATTACCTTGATACCCAAACCAGAGAAAGATACAAACAAACAAACAAATACTATAGGCCAATCTCACTAATGAAGATAGATGTAAAAATCCTCAATAAAATAACTGGCAAACAGAACACAGCAAGTCATTACACACCATGATGATATACACCATGACCAAGTGGGATTCATTCCAGGAATGCAGGAATGGTTTGATATACCCAAATCAATAAATATAATGTATCACATCAACAGAGCCAAAGACAAAAATAACATGATCATCTCAATAGATGCAGAAAGAGCTTTTGATGAAACTCAACACTCATTCATGATAAAGACCTTACAGAAAATTGAAATAGTCTTTACCTCAACCTGATAAAAGCCATCTATGACCAACAACCAACATCATACTGAATGGGCAAAAATTGAAAGAGCCCAGAACCTGGGACTTTCTTTGTTGGTAAATTTTTAGTTATGTTTTAAATTTCATTAACTGATATTGGATTATTCAGAATTTTTATAACTCTTATTCAACATAGTTTTGCAAGCATTAGCCAGAGAAATTAGACAAGATAGAGAAATAAAATTAATAAGGAGAGGAAAAGAAGAACTTAAATTGTCATTATTTGCAAATGACATGATACTCCACATAGAAGACCCCAAAAACTCTACCAAAAGACTTCTAGAATTAATAAACAAGTTCAATAGCTGGATACAAAGTCAACACTCAAAAATCAATAGCGTTCCTGTACACAAGAAACAAAACTCACTGTGAGTGAGAAATTAGGGAAAGCACACATTTTCACAACAGCATCCAAATAAATGAAATACAGGAATCAATCTAACAAAGGAAATAAGAGTTCTATATATTAAAAATTACAGTACTCTAAAAAAAGAGATTAGTAAGGATATGAGAAAATGGAAAGCTATCTCTTGCTCATGGATAGGGAGAGCTAACATTTGAAAATGGCCATACTCCCAAAATTGTTATACACATTTAATGCAATCCCAATCAAATTACCATTAACATACCTCACATTTCTAAAGAAAGCATTCCTAAAATTCTTTGCAACCAGAAGAGACCTAGAATAGCAAAAGCAATCCTGGGCAACAAAAGCAAGGCAGAAGAAATCACAATCCCTGACTTAAAATTATATTACAAAGTTATTGTGATGAAATCAGCATGATATTGGCAAAATAACAGACCTGATGGTCAAAGAAACAGATTAGAAGATGCAGACACAACTACAAAAGGGCCCAACAAGTTAACTGGAAGATAGTCTTTTTAATAAATGGTGCTAGAAAAAACCTTCCACATACTGAAGACTAATACTAGACCCACATCTATCACCATGCACTAAAGTCCAAATCAATCAAAATCTAAATATTAAAACATAAACACTAAATCTATTGGAAAAGATAGTAGGTAGAAATATTGACGATATATGGTTAGGTAGAGACTTCATGAATAAAACCCAAACTGCATGGGAAGTATCTCAAAGAATCAACTACTTAAACTCATCTTACTAAAAAGTTTTTTCAGTCAGGGATATAGCTCAGTGGCACAGCACCTTCCTGGAAAGCACAAGGTCCTTAATTTGATTCCTGGTACCAAAACAAACAAACAAAAATGGTTTTTCACAGCAAAAGAAATCACCAACAGAGTGAAAAGAAAGCCCACAGACTGGGAAAAAATTTTAGCCAATTGTCCCTCAGACAAATGACTTCTATATAAGGAACTGAAAAAACTCAGACCCCCAAAATTCAAAGACCCACTCCAAAAATGGGGTTCTGAAATGAATACACACTTCTCAGATGAAGTATACTAATGGCAATTAATATATCAAAAATGTTCAACATTGGTTATTTGAGAAATGTAAATTAAAACAACACTGGGATTGTATCTCGAGAAAAATGGCTGCTACCAAGAAATCAACCAATAACAAACGCTGATGGAGCTGTGGAGGAAAAGGATCCCTTCTCCTCTGTTGGTGGGAGTGCAGACTGGTGCAACTACTGTGAAAATCAATGTGGACAGTCTAAAGGTAGGATTAGAAGTCCCATTTGAACCAGCTGTCCCCCTTTGGGCATTTTTCTGCAAGAATTAAAAAACGTCATAAAATGTGGTATTTTTATACAGTGAAGTACTACTCAGCTATAAAGAAGGATAAACGTGAGGCTTTTATAGGTAAATGGATGCAACTAGAGACCATACTTATAAGTGACATAAATCACACTCACGTGTAAATACTGTATTGTCTCCCTAGTGTAAGAAACCAAAAACATAAGTCAGATATAAAATCTGCAAAAAATATCATAAAAGGGAAATAAAGTGCTCAAAATGAAGAACAACTCAGATAGAGGAAAGGAGAAAAGAAGGAAGGGAAAACGAAGGAGAAACCGATGAGCCACTCCTCATTGCATGTTCCTGACTCTAAACCACAGGCTGGTGTCGGGACTCCCCCATGTCCTATCAGACCTCGCCCTTTGGGGCACCCCCATCTTGTCCCATCAGGGGTGACTGCTGGGCATAGATGTTGGCTATCTCTTTCTCTCACACTCATATTCCTTTTCAAAGTGTGACTTGGCTTTTAGCCCTTTGACTCACCTCCAGTTTGGTCACAAAGGGCAAGACCACTTCTGACCAGCAAAGGACACTCCGCTTCGGTGCCTGTTGAGACAGCTGCTTACTCTGTAACCTCTGAGCTCTGAGTAAACACTCTTGGTCTGAGAGACACCTGGTAGCCCACAAATTAGTGTTTTACTACCAGATGGCTTGGCCTCATTATAAGATTGATAATAGCCACCTCCTTCCATGACTTAGATACTTTTTGCTACCACAAGAGCAAATGGTCAGATTCTATATCTTCAGGACTTTCTTGCTCTCAGGGGCCCCCTTCCCTCATTCAGGCATGTGGGGCCGCCCAAATACTTTTGGTTTGCTCCACACTGCCAAAACTCTTACCTGACAATCTCACCTACCTTACAGACAATATGCCCTCCATTCTTGCCCCCCTACGATACCCACAAAACTCTTCTTGTTCTCCACTAATGCTGTTATCTTTTCCTTCACCACCCACCTCCTCGTCCATTCCTCCATCACCATCTTCTCCTCACCCCATCACCCCTTCCCCTTCCTGCTCCTCGTGCATTCCACCATCATCATTTTCTCCACGCCCCCCCCCCACCGGATCGCACTCTTCCACCCACCACCATCTGGCAACCTTCCCACATTCTGTCTCATTATCTCTACCCCACGCACCTTTGACATGGTTCTCACCGCAACCTTTCCTTCCCCCTTGTGAGATAACAGTCACCCAAAGTATCATCCACATTCATGTCCCTTTTTCCTGTTCCAGTCTTTCCCATATCTCCCAGCATTTAATGTCCTTTACTGCTGACCATTACATCAAAGAGTTTAAATTCATCACTCAATCCTACCTACAGAGATATTTATGTTCTTCTCACTTCCACTGTGTCCCCTCAAAAAAACTAAACTCCTGTTTTATTTCCCAAGCAGCTCCAGACATTCAGACTCAGTTCAAAAAGTCAGACCTTGGCCCTCATTCCCCTCAGAGAGATAGGTTTAGAGATGGCTTTCTGTGTCTTCAACAATAGAGAAAAGCAATAAAAACAGGGCCACCTTTAAAAAGGTCGCGTTCCAGGACGACCTTAAAAAGATTGCATTTCAGGCTAAACTCCAAGGCCAATTTCTGGCTGCTTAGGCAATAGCAGCAGCACTTGGGGTTCAAAATAAAACACAGACAAAAAAATCTAAAATCCCGAGCTCCCACTGTGCTTCAAATGTGGCAGAAAAAGAACACTGGATGAGCCTGCCGTGGCCCATGGCCACAACTGGGAACTCATTCCATTTGCAACCAAGAGGGCCAGAGAGCTGGTAAGTCATCGCCTTCCTGCCCTCACAGGATAGGACACTGCCGCCACATGGATCATCACTGGCTGATCTGCTCGGCATCAGCATCTGAAGAGGATTGGAGGCCATTGAGGAATCTCCCAGTGCTCCGAGTCTCACTGGACAGCTCAGGTAAAAGCCTCTCTTTTCTTTTTGACATAGAGGCTACCTATATTATCTTCTTGAGCTTTCAAGCTGATGTTCCTGGTCTACAGTCTCTGCTGTTGGAGTTGATAGCCAACCTACATGACCTCTCCAGACAGGACCTACTCCTTGCAGATTCTAAATTCTTTTCTTTACACATCATTGTCTTGTTATCCCAATCTGTCCTGTACCTCTTTTAGGCAGAGACCATCTCCAAAATCTCAATCTCTCTGATACTCTCTGTCTCTCCATGGCTCTCATAACCCAAACCTAACCATCAGGCCCTGCTGAGTCAGCCCCTTCTCTGCCCTCCTCCCTCATCAACCTTCCAGTCTGGGTCACCTCCCGTCCCACTCGTACCACCCATATTATTTCAGTGCTAACTCACCTCAAACACTCCTGAGTTTTCCCTTGTGTTCCCCAATACCCAGTAACCCCTAAATATCAATGGAGGCTCAGAGCTATAATCTGCTGCTTGTTAACTAATGGGTTTCTAAACGTCACTTACTCACCTTACAACACCACTATTCTCCCTGTCCTCAAATCCAGTGGCTCCTATCTAGTCTAAGATCTCAGAGCTATTAACAATGTGGTAATGCCAATTCACCCAGTGAATGCCAAACCCTTACACTGTACTGTCTCATATTCCTCCATGTGCCTCTTACTTTTCTGTATTAGACCTTAAATATACATTTTTCACTATTCCCTTACACCCCGATTGCCAAGATTTCTTTGCCTTTACATGGACAAACTCGTTCTCATCTTCACTGCCATACTTTGGATAATCTCTCCTTACAAAAGAAAAACTTTTCTATTTCTCTATACCTTTAGACTCAAACACCTCACATTGCCTAAAATAAAGCCCTCAATCTTACTCTCTCTCCTACTATTCCTTCTCATTCTCCTTCTAGGACACATAACTTTACTGATAATCTACTCCACAATTATCAAACTCAGTATTCCTCTTTGCCACATACATCCCAACTTAAAATATCAAGTTCAAACCAAAATTCTCCAGTAATATGATACACAACAAATAACCCCAACTCAAACCAAGCCTCTCCCAACCCTTTATATGAGCTCCGACAAGGCTCCCACCTTCACCTCCACCATCTCCAAAACTGATAACAAAACCCTTGCAATGATTTATTACATGGCCATCAATACATTTGTTACTCTTCATTTCCTGTACCATCAGCTTTACCCTTCCACACAAACATGAGACATAACTATAACCACTAACAAAAACATCACTTCAGACATGATCATCAAAAACATCTCCTTTTACCAATACTCCTTAGGCAAAATAGAGATATGTCTTTTATAACAGAATGGGTTCCCCCTCAGGCCTCATATTTCATTTGAAGTCCTTTAGAATCTCATTCCTAAGTACTCTTGCTAATATTGTCTCTCCCTCTGTATGCCTGGACTCCCCACACCTGGACTCCCCACACCACAGATCTCCATTTCTTCTTTCCTTAAGTAGACATTTGAGACTGTCTCCAGAAACATTAAAGACAAGACTTTTCCATATGGACTTTTCTGAGGGACTGAGCCCCTATCTCCTCCCTTTAATGCGACCTCTCATACTACTCATCATATTTTTACTTATAGACAACTGACTTTTAAAACTTTTTTCAAGACTTCTTCAATCCATGATATGCATCTTCACCACCAGAGAGTTCCTTGTCCTGGATGAGACCCCTGGCACCAGCTCCTTCCTGGGCCTAACCCATCATCCTGACAACAGCAACAGCCCCACCAGGAAGCCCCTCCCCAGCAAAAAGCAGTCTAAAATGACCGCCACCCCTGTTCACCCATAAATCAAAAATATGGAAATAGTAGATTCTGCCAGCCTGAAGTTTAGCGGTCTCTAACATGACATCAGCCCAACTCGGTACCAGGCTCAGAGAAGCAACTTATCTCTCCAAGAGTAACTTCTATCCTTCTAGTTCCGGGAGTAAATTTCTCATTCTCCCTTTTGCACATGCACTGAGCCCTCTCCAACCCTGACTCCACAACCACTGAAGTGCTCCACCCCCACCCCCAGTAAATCTTCCTGTTTCCTGTTTTGCACATGCAGATGCTCCTTCAAGTCAGCCATTGATGTATCATTTTGTCTACCTGCCAAGCCCTTCCTCCAGCCTGACCTGATAAAAGTACTTCCACTTCTGAGGATGCCTACATCTCTTCTGCAGCCCTTCCATGCCCGCAATAAAGGCCTCTTTTCTCCTTTCTTTGTCTGTCCATCGTGCCAAAATCTTATCAACATGTAACCTTGGAACATTCTTTTGTTGCTTTTTTCTATTGATTTTTTTTTATCTGTCTATTCATTATTAAGAGCATACACTTATCCACTTCTAATAACTGTTTAAAAACACTTGTGTGCTAATTCCAATATGTGGGTCATCTTGATTTTCTTTTCTTTTAAGATATAATTTGTTCCCACCAAAACATATGTTGAGTGTTGGTCCCACTGTATTGATATTGAGGAGTGGTGACAACTTCAGGAGGTGCTTGGGTGGTGAGCGACCCATTCTTATAAAAGGGTGAATACCATCTTTCAAGAATAAGGGCTCACTCTCCTGTGCAGATTAGTTACCATGAGGACACCTCATGATAAAGTAAGATTATTCCTTGCATTTTGTCTTCTCCAACATGGCCTTTTCCCCTCCCATTTTCCATCAGGAGTTGATGGGGAATGTGGCCCTTACCAGCTTCATGTTGGACATTCCAGCCCCAAGGATTGTGCTGTGTAAAAGCTCTTGTCTTTGTGAATGATCCATTTTCAGTTGTTCTGCTAGCAACAGAGTATTAACTGAATTAGATGATATGATTTCCCATTTTTCCTGGCTCCTTAATTTCTAGATTCTCTTTCATTTTCCAGTGGTTGTCATTATTCCTCAATCCAGAAAGTCTCTCACTTTCAGAATTTTAGGCCACCCATGTGTTAGGGTTTGTACCTGGATGTCCTCTCAATGGCTCCTGAGTTCACAGGTGGGGCTTTAGGGAAGTGACTGGATCGTGGGTGTGTGGTACTTGATTAGTCCATGAATGGGCTTATAGCTGGGTGCAGTGTTGGAAGCTGAAGCCTTGTGGGAGGAGGAGGGTCACCAGATGTGTGGCCTGGAAGTATTTAACCTTCCTACCCGCTTGATGCCTGCTGCTTCCTGCCCGATATGTCAAGAACTGTTTGAACTGTTTCTTTATGCCTCTCTGCCTAATGCCTGTCTCAGATCCAGCTGACTGTAGATGGAAACCTCTACAAACTGTGAGACAAAGGAAATTTTCCTCCTTTAACTTGTGGTGTCAGGTATTTTGTGCCCACAATAAGAAAGGCACTGCACCATACCCACTTGTATCTTTCTTTAAGCAAAAAGGCAGAACAAATAGACAACTCTATGTATGTTGCTCTATTCTCCTATGAGTGATGACTTCTCTAAAATACATGTGAAATTATTCACTCTATAGTTCCTTCAAGGAAGATCTTTGCTGTTTTCTTCCCTTTGTTCCTCAGAGTTTATAATTGCTGTCATTCAGATGGTAGGACTGGAAACTTACAGAAAATGGAATTCTGTCTTCTTGTTCATGTTCAGTCTTTTGCACTTATAAGACATTAAATTCAATCTTCAGAGAAAGTTTAAATTTGGCTCTTTTCAATGCCCACCCTCTTACTTATGCCAAGTCTTTACTTAAGAATCATTTATTCTAACAGTTCTTCCTGATCTACCTTATCGGGTACCCTGCTCCTGGCACCTCATGCACTACTTTCCAGTCCGTTGAGTGCATTGTTTCTTTTCATCATCTTCTCTTCCTGATTTTATGCTGTATATTGACTTTTCATTCTGTTTTTTTATATTTGTATTCTTCACTAGACAATAAGCTCCATGAGTACTGGAATTTCCATTTCCTTTCAGGAACATAATATTCCTTGCAACTCTGCTCACCTCATAGCAGAGGCTAAATATTCATTCAATGACTAGCTCATGCTAGACACATAAAAATACACCTATACCCAAATAAGTTCAACTAATATATTATGAAAGATAGCTTTTTTGACAAATAGTGGTAGAGCAACTGGACAGCTCCAAGGAAAAAAATGAATACTGATCTAAAACTCATTTTTTATACCAAAATTAACTCAAAATAAGTCCTTTAATTAAATGTGAAATTTAAAAATAAGACAAAATTTATTTTTAAACCAGGAGAAAAATCTACAAGATCCAAAAATTACACATAAAGTAGAAAACTATAACTGAAACTATACACATAAGAAACAGTTGATAAATGGGACCTCGTTAAATGTACTTTGGTCAATTCATAGACTTCTCAGCAGTAAAATAGAACTGCTGACATTCAGAAAAGCCATGAGCATAAATAAAATAAAGGATTTTTGTATGGCATCCAGGGCTTGTATCAGTATCAGTGTTCATTCATTCAGGACTTCCGCTTTGTCCTTTTGTGATGACTGGAAGGAAGGAGGTAGCACTATTTGCTTTCTAGATACCAACCCCATTTCCTTAACTCCCTTGTCTCTATCTACTCACCTATTTCCCCTTGGCAGTTAGTTACAAAATTAAAATGCACTGGATTTCAGTGGAACACACCCTCTGGTCTAGATTCTGGCACAGCCACTTATTATCTGTAGTCATGGACAAGTATTATTTAACTTTATTTTTGGAACTGAGATTTTAAAAGCCATAGAGTGGTTATGAGACAGATGAAAGCAACAGCCTCATTCAGTCTTTGACAGTGGAAGGGAGGAGGGTGGTTGGCCAACAGCGGACGTGTTCCTCCCCAGCTGCTCTAGGACAACTTGCCCCGTCCCTGGGTGTCCTCCTGCCATCCCCCTGAGGTTGCTTCCTGGCTGCTGTCCTAGCCTGTCCAACAGGAGGAGAAGTTTGCAGCCGTGACACCCCCTCCCAGCTCCACTGCTCCGGACTGAAGTATCAGGGAATCACTCTAAAGTGCCTAAATCAGGGAGGGCATGGTTGTCTCCATTCCTAACATCCCAAACTCCCCAAACTCCAACAGCTGTGACAAGCACAGCCAGAAATCCTGAATATTTCTGGGTTTCAGCTCTTGCCATTTTTCTCAAAAACACAGCAGCTGTCAATCAAACAGCTCCAATCATACCACTGCCACCCTCACCCCCAGAATCACTGCAGTGATAGATATAGCTGTCCTGGAGTAATGCACCCATTTGGACTAATCACAGGCCTGTACTTGGGCCAATCAGCAAGCCTGAATTAGAACCAGTCATAGGCCTAAATTTGAACCAATCACAGGCCCACTACTGCTATCTGAGCAAAACTCTCTGGGGCATTTTCTGTGTTAGTCTTGGCGGGCTCCCTCTGGTGTACTCAACCTCCTTGTGCTGCACACAGGTCCTGTTGAAATAAATCCTTGGTCTTGTGGTCCTGTCATTCTGCTTGTGTTTTATTTCTCTGGTTGTGTGGGCTCAGAAGGTCATGTGAATGGCCTCAGGATACGGACTACAATGGTGTGGATGAATCATTTGTTTTAAAACAAAGGGTGGTAAATAATACAGGCTGGTATCCCTGACCTGCTCCAGAGAGAGCTCCCAGCAAAGTCAGTCAATAGCATGGAGCATGAGTAGGCTTCTTGAATTGAGCAATTCAGCTGAGTTTTACAACTAAAGGAGATCGCTGATGGAAAACTCTTAGATCTTAAGTCAGTGCTGAACAAGTAAAAGGAATGAGTCAAACTACTCTTCTAGTGAATGTTTTAAACTGCTTCTTACTTGATTTTCTTGAGTTCTTTTTCTAAAATTAAGCAAATCATGGTGAATCTATTTTCGTTCTCTTCAGAAGGTTGAAATTTAATCATGTTACAGTCCATGTTGCATAATAATCTACCCAGTTATTTCTCATAAATTGCAGCTAAGCACTTTGATTTTTGACCTCTTGTAATACACTTGGTGGGTGACCTGAATGGGAAGGTCATTTGTAGATATTTCCCCTAACTCATCTTCTTTTAGGAAGCATCAGCATATCTCTCAGTATCACTTCCTATGAGAGAGAGCTTCTCTTTCATTCCTTCACTTGCAGAGAGTAATACAAGGCTGGATATACCATGTAGTTGACTGAATACCGCACAGTCTTAGGGACAGTCTTGTGGACCCTTCCTCTCCTCTTGGCTCGCCACTCCCATCTGATCCTCTGTGTGCTGGAGAAAGTGTCCTAGTGCTTCAGAAACTATTGTTCTCTCTTAACAGATGAGAATGGCACCAAAGTCTGATTCACTAAATGAGTGGGGGAAATCAGGTGTGACAAAAAGGAACCTCCCATTCAGGTACTATCTTATCAGCTCGTCATGCCTATCGGTACTTTGGAGTTTCTCATATTTCTTTTCCCGCTAGGCTTTAGGACTTTGGGAAGGAAGCTTAACTTTTCCCACCATTTTTTGTTTTCTTTGTCAAGGCCATCCTTTTAAAAGTCACAGGTTTTCTGAATAGAAGTGCCTCTCAGGAGTACCTTCCTCTCCCACTGTAATGTCCAGATTCCCAAAGCAGACTCGGCTCTAACTTGCTTGAGGGTGCTTTCAGGATGACTGAGACTGCCCACTTTGAACCCATGTCCTTGTTTTAGCACTCACAGGTGAATTATTTTTATTTCTTTGTCCACTGCTGCCATGAGCAGATGAGGGCTACCCTGGAAAGGCCCCCAGAGCTCCACAAGGTTGCTTGTTCCTGACATAGATTCTTCATACTAGAATTCTTGAGATTTCAAAGGTCCTTTGGCTCAAGTGATTCTGGAAACCCCAGTTCTGGCCTCTTCCCCTAATCTTCTTCCTAATTCAGCCTCACTCTTGACCCGGTTTCTCCCAGGCTTAGCTGTTGTAGATTGCTGTGCAGCTGCCCTCTGGTTTGACTGTTGTTTCCACAAGTTCTCTCTTCCCTCAAGGTATTTCAAGGCAGAGCTGCAACCTCTGAACTTCTGGTGGTGCATGGTCCACAGGTGCCATGGGGCTCACATCGGGGAGCAGGTGCCCATCTCTGAGCCTCTTGGGGGCTCTGACCTTACTCCTGTGCCCCTCCAACTTACAAGGTAAGTAAAATGGTCTTGAGAGCACAGGGCCCCAGGATAGCCTGCAGGAAGGCAAGGTCAGGTAGTCTCTTTATTCTGTATCAGACATTTTGAATCTGTGGTCAAATCATGATTTATACTATATTGTGGGAGGTGTGATACATTGTTTTATTAAATTGTCATTTATTTTTAAAAATTTTACATTTTTATTTTTTAGCATGTGTTTGCAGTTCATGCAATTTATAGTCATCTTCAGGAGTGGTTATGTGCACAGACCACAGCTTATTTTTCTAATCCCTTTGCTCTCCCCTTCAATTCCCCAATCCCATTTTTCATTCTTTTTGATATCATTAATCCTGACTGATACTATGGTATATAAGGTTATACTAACTGAGGCCATTGGGTTCCTGTGCATGACAAATCTTTGTTCTACTCAATTCCCCTTCCCCCCCTCCTCAGCCTTCCCGCTTTTTCCCTTGGACCACATCCCTGTTACAAAAATTCATCTCCTTGTCTCATTCTCCTGTTTGTTTATACTTTACTTCACTCAAGTGAGAAATATCATATGGTATTTAAACCTATGTGTCTGGTTTATTTTGCCCAACATTATATTTTCCAGGTGCATCTATTTTCCTGCAAATGTCTCAAATCTATCATTCTTTATAGCTGAGTAGTATTCCATTATATAGAGATACCACACTTTCTTTATCCAGTCATCTGTTGATGGGTATGTAGGCTGTTTCCCGGATTTTGCTATTATGAATTGTGCTATTGTAAGCATTGTTGTGCATGTATTGCTATAGTATGATGTCTTAAACTCTTTGGGGAAGATTCCTAGAAGGGAGACAGCTGGGTCATATGAGATTTCTCATTGCAGTTCTTTGAGAAATCTCCACAATGATTTCCATAATGGCTTCACTAGTTTACATTCCTACCAACAGTGCAGAAGGTTTCTTTTTTCACTGAAGCCAGAATTTGGATTTTTGGTTTCTTGATGATTGCTATTCTTTGTGGAGTAAGTCAGAATCTTTGCATTGTTTTAATTTGCATCTCTGTAATGGTCAGAGGTGTTGAATTTTTTTTACATTTGTTGCTACAGTCAATCATTTATTAACAAGTTAAATGTTTTATGAGTAACAATAAATTATTAGTTTCCATTTTAATAATGACAAAGTTTTACTATGAAATATTTTTAAAGATTTTAATATTTTTAGATATATGCAATTACCATTTCTAGAGGGAAAAGATCTTGGTCTGGAAAAATACTTGGGATTTACTCTAATAAACAGATAAGAATAATTCTAAAGAACTTCATCACATCTAAATATGAAAATGCTTATAATTCCTTCTTTTTTAAGTGAGTTTTTTTTATCTCCTGCTATGTTTGCTAATTTTTTCACCCTTTACAATCTGTAAATGAAATATAAAATGATTATTGCCTCAAATTCTGGAAAAATCAACTAGAATTAAAGTTATAAGGAACTGTGCATGAAAGTTCTTTGTAAGCCATAAAATATTACACAAATACAAAGTTTTATTTTTGCAATTGGTAAGTAAATTGTATTATCAAGCATGTAAAGCAAAATTTCCCAATGACTCTCTTTTGTAAAAGATTTAAAAACAAGTGCAATTCTTGGAGTTAGTGGGAGAAAATTGCTTGGGTGTTCTGGGCTTGCACAGCCCTTAAAGGCTTTTGCAGGGCAATTCCTCCATATCACACATTTCTCGAGTAGAAGACTCCTCTTCCACCGATATTAAACTTGATATTGAAAGGTCCTTCTTAGCCCACCAGAGCACCTCCTCTTACCCTGGTGCGCTGTGCAGGGCGTGGCCTCTGTACAACAAACTGCACTGATTCTTCTCACATGCTGTCTGACCATGGGCAAGCTGCCTCACCTCTCTGTGTTCCTGTCTTTCTATTTATAAAATGAGAACAATAATAGTTACTTTATGGAATTGTTTGGGAGGAGATTACATGAAATTTTTTATGGTGTTTAAAGCATTGCCTGACACACCATCACAAGCACACACACAGAGTTAAATATTTAGAAGTACTGAAAAAAATAGTTCTACATATAGTGACCAATTGTACCTTCTGTAAATACATGCATATAAACCCTTATTCCTTTGTTGTTTCTGCCTGAGAGGTGGCACCTTTACTTTGTGAATTGTGCTGTGTTGTTTCACGAGTAATAAGAGTAATGGGGAAGAAGAAATATCAGCTAGTAAATCTCCTTGTGCTAGGAACCTTGAACATCCCCACAGATCCATGTGTGAAAGCCTTGGTCTCCAGATGGCACCGGTGGAAGGTGTTGGAGACTTAAGGGTGGGCCTCAGCAAGAAGTCTTCCTGTCACCAAGGGCACCCTTGATGGGAACTGTGAGACTCCCAGGCTCCCCCCTCTTTCACTTCTGAGTCATAATGTGAATGATTTTGCCACAACACACACTGCCAGTGATGTGCTACTCCCTATGGATCTGACAGCAATGGCTTCACCTGCTCATGAACTGGAGCCTCAGAAACTGTGAGCCACAATAAACCATTTCCCTTTCTCAGTTAACTAGCTCAAGCATTTTATTACAGTGATGGAAAGCTAACATTCCTTAATGAGTCCGAAAAAATTCTTAGCTAGATCAATGATTCCAGCCCATAATATCAGCACCTTACTAGGCTGAGGTGAAAGGACCAAAGGTCTGAGCCCAAGCTGAGAAATTCAGCAACTCAATGAGACCCTATCTAATGATTAAAAATTTTTAAAAGGCTGGGGGTGTAACTCAGTGTGAAGGCTCTGGGCCCAATTCTCGGTATTATAAGACAAAGTTCTCACTTTCTGTTTCCAAGGTTGCAGCTCTCCCCCTGAGATTCCACATGGGAACTACGCATACCTCACCGGATACCTGGTGTTCACTACCCAAGTGCAGTACGAATGCAATGAAGGATATGCTCTGGTGGGAGCAGCCATAATCTCCTGCGGGTTTTTTGGGTGGTCACCACCAGCTCCTCAGTGTCAAGGTAACCTCGGCTCCTCAAGTACAATAGCACTGCCGAGCAGCTCAGACGTAACTCAAAGAAAGAAGGGTCTATCCAGCTGGAGCAGAGTCTCCCCAGTTCATGCTTGGCCCATGGTTGGCCATGGTGTTCTTCCCAGTACCCTAGAAACAGTACCTCTGGGTTCTTATATACTCCGCTACCTTTCAGAAGAAAGTTGACTTCTCTATTGGTCACCCGGCTGTTATGGCAGACTATGCAAAAATGTTCGTAAGAACATTGTTTATATCTTTTCACACTCAACAATTTCAGAACCTAAATTACTGGCACTGCTTTTGTTCTATACAGAAGAAAATCGAGGCAGAAGTCCTATATATAAATAAAGAGCTCAGACTCTGGAATTAGTGCACACTCTTGCTCTACCCCTTCGAAGTACTGTGTGTGATTTGTGGTGAGGTATCTAGCTTCTCCATGCCTGTTTCCTCATCTCTCTAATCAGCATGTCCATGCCTTTCTCAAAGGGCAGCTGAGGCTTCATGAAGTAACGTCTGTAGCATGCTCAGCACATAAGCAAACACTGACAGTGGGGATAGTGGTAATAGCACCACGGTGGCAGGAGCAGTGTAAAAAGAAAAGTAGATTTCAACAATATTTCTTATTCCTTTTGTTATCAGTGTCAAAATGTCCTTTCTTTGAGATGAATAAGATAATAAGGTAATATATTCTACTTACAGCTTTGTGCCTAAAGCCAAAGATACCAAATGGAAGGCTGTCTGTGGAGAAGGAGCAGTATATCAGCCCTGAAACTGTCACCATCCAGTGTGACCCTGGCTATAGGATGGTTGGCTCCCAGAGGATCTCCTGCTTGGAGGACAAATCTTGGAGCCCAGCTGTGCCCAGCTGTGAAAGGGTGAGTAACACTCAGTCAATGAATTTTCTGTCATTCGACACTTATCTTAGCCTGCTTTTCCATTTGGGGACAAAATTCCAGACACCTGCAGTTTAAAGGAGGAGAAGTTTATTTTGACTCACAGCTTCAGTTTGTGGTTGGCTGGCTCCAGGACAGAAACAGAATAGCAAGGGACATTGCAGAAGGAAAGGTATAGCAACCCTTAGCAACAGGAAGCAGAGAGAGAAAGAGGAAGCTTAGAACATGCCCCCACGCACCCATCTCTAATCAGGCCCCGACTCCTAAGGGAACATTCAGCTATGAACTTATCAATCGATTATATTATTGATGATACAACTCCTGCTGTGATCCAACCACATGAGAATCCTGAGGAACATTTTAGATCTAAATTGTGACAATACCTTAAAACAAAATACAGATCAGGTGGTTCGTAAAAGGAGAAAAATAATGTCCTAAAGTATCACCTCAGTCATTCGGGCCAATGTACTGTTTGTAGGTACTGTTCTTATTGTACCTCTTTGTTTCACATACAGACAGCCCAGGTGGGCAGCAGATTTTATTAACAAGATATCCTGGCTCTGACCCTAGTATCTGGTTAGCTTTTGTTTCAATTCTCGTCAGTGAGTAGATCTGACAGAGCCATTGTCCTTTCACACATTTAGCATCCTTGTAAGCTTAGACTCCCTCTGTGCTTGACCTAAATCTGATGAAAACCTACAAACAGATTATGGATTAGGCTCTTGAAAAAATACTTCATCCCAAAAGATGCTTGACCCTTTACAGGAAATGGGAAAGCTTTCTAAAATCATCATTTTGGTTTTCTTTTTCAGCAAGTTCCTGAAGATCACAATATTGTCCAAGCAGGAAAAAGTCTCTTACAGTGTCTCCCAAGTCCAAGGGACTCAAAGGTGGCCCTGGAATTATATAAACTTTCTCTGGAGATTGAAAAACTGGAGCGAGAGAGAGACAGGGGGAAAGTCATTTAAATATACTACAGCTCTTTTCCTAGGAAGATGAAGCAAAGATTTGCTTTTCTGTATAGCTGAGAGGAAACCTCAGTTTACCAGCTCTATTTAAACATTTATTGCAATAAATGTTTATTGAAATAAACAACTTTGGTAGAACTTGTTAATATGCATAGTGACCCTGGACTGAGAAATTATTAATAATTTATATCATTGGGGCTGGGGATTTAGCTCAGCAGCATAAGCACCTGCCTTGCAAGCAGGCAGTCGTGAGTTTGATCCCTGGTCCAATTGACAAAAATTTATATCCTCAACACTGCTTAAATTTTCATACTTCTGGATTTGGTAAGCTAGCTGAAATAAATAATTACCAACAAAAACAATTTTTCCTAGTTCTAACAGTGTACTGGGGTGCCTGATGGTACCTTCTAGGTTCTTGTCTTATTCAGTGAACTGGAAAAGACAAGAAAAAATGTAGTGAAGATTTACATTTATTAAAGATGAGAAGAGAAGGGAAAAGAATTGCTCTGAAAAAGAAGTGTTTTGCAAAGTGAGTATGGGCCCATGATAGTAAACTAAGAACCATCTGCAGAGTGTTGGCTGGGCTGGTGAAATGCTCATGGTGGCCAGGAGGTAAATGGCTACTCTTTTATACCCAGTTCTGATGTCAGATGTAAAACCTGCTGGATCTTGTGCCAAAAAAATCAAAGATGGAATTCTCTGACAGGCACCAGGCTCAGGGATTAGGAACTGCCCTGAGCATGTGTGCTAAATCTCTGTGATTGACAGGTTGCTGTGATTGATGCATCACACACAATTGGCCAGCCACTTTGTGCTCTAATCTGCCTCATTTCCCCTGAGAGACAAAAATTCTTACAATTCTTTATGGGCTGTGGAGGATGTGGCTGTCTCTGTCTTCATGTGACTATTTCCGGAAGAGCCATAGGCCATACCTCCTAGGAATTACGTGCTCTCTAATGTCCTTGGGGTGTCATGGCTAGGTTAAAAGCAGGAAAAACCCATCAGAACACAGTGAGAAAAGTTAGTGAACTGATGAGCTGAGAAAAGTTGGTGAATTTGTCAGGAGGGTCATGGGCTATACCTAGATCACTGTCTGAAGCCTTGAATAGATAAATCTTACCATTAGATTGGAAATTCAGAGCCCAAACATAAGGAGGAGTAGATCAGAATATTTCTTGGTTTGTCTTAAAAGATTGACTATAACTCATCCAGCAATTAGAGACATTAAGCTTTATTTCTTTGCTTCTTGTGGAGGATAAAGCATGGTGAATAGAGATATTCAGTAAATTGCCGAGAGTCTACATATATTCTTAGAAAAATTACTCCCATTATCGACAGAAGCCCCACTAGAAAATCCCATTTGGGGGCTGGGGATTTAGCTCATCGGCATAAGCACCTGCCTTGCAAGCAGGCAGTCCTGAGTTCAATCCCCGGTACCGATAAAAATGAAAAAAAAAAAAAGACAAAAAAAAAAAAAAAGAAAGAAAGAAAGAAAGAAAATCCCATTTAAGCTGCGATGGGTTAAAGGTCATTCCTGACTGTCTATAACCAAAGCAGAACTGGAGTCTTGTTTTTTGAAGAGGATCCCCAGACTTTCCAGAGGTTCACAGAAGCTGCAATTTTTCTTTTAGAAAAGGAGATGATGTGAGCTTTCCAGGGTTATTACAACCACAAATGTGCAAGTGTTGCAGGTCTATCGGGTGGTCACCACTATTGCAATCCTGTGAAAATCGACCATCTTCCCACGTAGGGTTTTTATAGCTGGTCACTGTGTCTCATGAGGAAGGACCAATTCATTTTCTAGATTGATCCTTATAGTCCGTAGGAATTAGGAACAAGGCTAAGGTCTTGAGGGGGTTGTCAGACTGCCCTTCTTGTCTATCAGCCTTTTGATTTCTCAAGGAGACTTTAGAGGAATCTCTTTGGTGTCACTTGCAATGCAGGACAGCAACCTGTCTGAGAAGACAGACTGGCCCAGGAGTTGCAGTTTCCATCTCCTGCTTCATTTTCTCCTAAGGCAGCGGGACTCTGGCTCAATTAAAAACTCATGGCTGAACAAATTGACTTTCTTTTTTTAAAATTTTATTTTATTTTTATTCTTTTAAAATATTTTTTAAAATTATATTTTATAGAGATTAAAAAAGGAAAATAAAACAGAATAAAACCAATCAACATAAAGCAGTATGAGTGATACAGGACTTCAAAACCTTAAGAAATAACAATAATTACCATATTGCCTTTTGTTGTCTTCAAAATAGCTGAAGATACCTTCGGATACAGTAAAAATCGGATAGAATAGAAACAATAAAAACAAAACAATGAATGCAATAAAGGACTTCAAAACAAGCCAGTAGTAAATCCAAAATGGTAATGTGTCTCGCTATGTTTGAAATAGCTGCTCATTCCATCAGATTTAACATAATCAAACAAAACAAAAGAGAATAAAACCCAGCCCAAGAACACGATGAAGATGCTATGGTTTCCAGGCAAAGATCGCCTCCTGGTGAGGCCTGGTTCCACTGCCCCCCAGCAGTTGGCAAATGGCACTGACTCATGGAGAGAGGCTTCAGCCATAAAAGCCTGAACATAGGGATTTTACACCACCTCCCTTTTTCAGAAAGAATCTATCTGAAAAATGCATTGTATTTCAACTGCAATTCTGTACCTACCTTTAGTTCATTTCATAGTTTATTCCAAATTTTGAAGGACACAGCTGAATGACAAGTTCACTGGGATCTACTGGGTGTTTCCCATGGCATGCCCTGAGGCCTATGGAGAGCAAAGACCAGGCATGGAGTTCTTCAGATGGTGTCCGGTCCAGGAGGAGAAGACCCAGTGAGTTCACAAGGCAATCCTTGCAAGAATTGAGTACTACTGAATGGTGTCTCTTATTTATTTTTGTGCTTAGAATTGTTCATACCATGGCCCACCAATTTCCTAGGGAGAAGAATGAAGCCCCCACCGCCACCACTAGGGGCCTGTTAGAAACAATAAACTCCTAAGGTACCAAGGAGCCACCTTGCCCCAGAGCAATGATCTTGCATTCATGGCAATAATATTTCAGTGCTTTTTCTCTTTTTAAGGTAGTAGTAGAAACCTTTTTTTCATCATTTAAGAGAAGAAAAGGGGAAAAAACCCTTAAAAAGTTCTAAATACAAGGCATTCTCACCACCAGTTGAGTTCATTCTTCCCAAAGGCCCCCTTTGCTCTCTTCAGGCCCTCAGGTGCTTTTTTAGATTTTCTGAATTTCTGTTATCAGGATGGCTACCTGGAAAAATGACTCATAGCTGTTTTTCCCAAAAGAGTAAAATAACTGAGCAGCTCTCTGGGGGGACTCAATCTAGGTGACCACAGAATACTCCACTGTGAATGCAGCAGGCCTTGGCCTGAACCCCGCCAAGCGGCCAAGCGAGTGGGGTGGTGGGAGGCATGAAGGAGAATGGTGGTAGGAGTGGAGGGAACCAGCAGGCTGCTGAGTGGCTCCAGGGCCACCAGCATTAACTGCCCCTGGGGCTATCAACCTGCTCCCTTGGTCTGCATTTAGCTGGACTCTTAACAGCCTTCTGTGGAATCCAAAATCTCCAGTCGCCACACCCTTTCCTTAGGGCACTAGGACTAGATGTGACTTCGTCTGCAAGCCCAACCAGCTAGCAGAGCATAAGTGCTCAAACAGTACCATCTTCCCAAAGGCCCACTAGTACCTGGGGCCACACGGCCCCGGGTTTGTGGCTGTGGACACCCCCAGCCAGTGCACCAAGGGCACGTACCCCAGCCCAGTACAAGGCACGAAGCGAAGGCATAAGCTTAGCTGGGCTTCACAGTGGGTTCTGAGCCAAGCACCCACATGGGGCTGTACCCCTAGCTGCATTCTGTCCCTGTTCCATCTCTAGTCAGCTCTTCAGGGTGTGGCAGTCCACTCTTACCTGCTGGCTGGCTCGCCAAAAGCTATTAATGGGGTACTGATGATCTCAGAGGTCCCTTCCAGGCTTTTGCTGTCCTGTTCAAAGAATTAGGCAACTGAAAAACGTAGTGAGGTTTTACATTTTTTATAAATAGTTAAGGCATGCATGGTGGCACATACCTGTAATCTCAGCACTCAGGAGGCTGAGGCAGGAGGATCACTCTGAGTTCGAGGCTAGGCTAGGTTACAAAGTGAGTTCAGAGTCAGCCTGAACTGCATAGTGAGACCCTGTTTCAAAGAAGACAAAAAAAAAAAAATTGAGATAAGAAAAAAAATGAAAAGAAGTGCTCCAAAAAGATGTGCTCTGCAGAGTGAATGCAGGTCAGTTAAAGTAGGAAAAGAACGATCTCCCACAGAGTGCAGAATGGGCAGGTGAAAAGACTCACAGAGGCCACAAAGTTAAAGGCCAACGTCTTAGACGCACGCCTGATGTCAGATGTAGGCCATTGCATCAAAAACCCACCTGATCTCATGCCAGAAGAATTGAAGACAGCATTCTCTAACTGACACCAGGCACAGGACCTGGAAGCTGCTCTGCCTGTGTGTCCCTGAATCTCCATGACTGACAGGTCTCTGTGACTGACAGGTCACACCCAATTGCCCAGCCACATTGCCATCTCCTAAACTCCTTCCATACTAGTGATGCTGTGATCAATGAGGCCCAAGACGGCTTGCCAGGTTCTTGTGATGACAGGTCAAGCATTGGATATTGTTTACAATGGTACAGAAAAGGCAGCTAGCTATTTCATGAAGTTTAAAGGTTGAAGTTACACTCAGAGCAAGGAGGGTGATGCCAGTAGAAATTAAAAACAGCAGGAATGGAAAGGAAAGGAAAATGGCATGCATGGTGAACGCATGGCTGCTCTAGCTGGTCTAGCACTCAGGCATCATGGTGTGGAACTGTAAAAATCTTCCAAGGTAGGTCAAAAGCATCTCTGACTTTCTTATCTCTGTCTCTGGATAGTAGACCTCGGGACAAAGGTAGCGCGTTTGGTCCTGGGATGTGGCCAGGTTTGGGTGGGTAGAGGGAGAGTGGTCACGTTGTTATCATATGTGCCGAGCTCATGGTTCTGCACATGTTGAAGAATGAAGTCGTGAACCGAAGGAGAAGGTTAGGGGAGTTTTACTGGCAGTAACAAGAGGACTAGCGCTTCCAGATTCCCAAAAGATTCCTGAGTAAGTGATGCTTCTGTGTGAGGGGCCAGTTATCAGTGATCAGAGCACAGCAATTGCCCAGTTGTTGGTGGCCCTCTTTCACGGATAGCCCTGTACATTTAAAATGACCAGTTGGCACTCAGGATTTCTAACCCAGTTCTTCAACACATAGAGTTTAAAAGAAACTGAGATTTTAGGGAAAAACTGGCTATTTTGCTTTTAAGTTTTCTCAGAACACAGGAGCTCAGTATGGAGTGGCTGAACCCCCCTTTAGCAGGGAGAGGGCTGGGTTCCCTCTTGGTGGAGAAATTTCATCCCTGGCCCACAGTCCTAATTCAGAGGCTGTGTTTTTTCGTTTCCTAGCAGTGTGGCTAGTTACCTGGCCCTATCTCAGGCCTTTCCCCTAGATAGCTCTCTTACTCATAAGCTAACTAAATATTCTTTACACCATAACCCCAAATGTACTAGCTATATTTCTAGTCTTCATTTGGAGACCTGTGCTGTGTAATACATGTGCCCTGCACACATTCCCTCCCTGCACTTAGTTGTATTTCTTTTCCACATTATGTTGTCTCAGTGACTAGGAAGGGCCATGTGTGATGCTCTTCTTGTTAACTCTGGGAGCAGTGAATCATCTTCCTTGTGAGATGTTACTCTTCTGGTCAGTGCAAACATCTTCCATTTTCTCCCCTTATCTGTTGATTGTCACTCTCTATTTCCTTCTCTCTGTTACCCAAGAATGCACTCCAATGTGGTAAATCTCCTCAGACATGCAAACAAGTTGTGTGTGTATGTTCTCTCCACATTCCTCACTCTACAGCACCACATAATACTTTACCAAATGCATCCCTGTGTTGTGTTTCTCCATTCCCCGTGATGAACACCTATGTTACCTGAAACTCTTGTTTACTATAAACTGGTACTATAAAATGGAACTTTAAAGGTTAGGGTTTTTCTCTAGCACCCCCCCACGCCGGGTAAGAAGTTTCTCCAGACTTTCCTCTCCCAAGCACTTAATCAACACTGTCCTCAACCTAAAGGAGGGACAGTACATGCAGATGTCTCAGGAGGCCTCAGCTCAAATTCTTTTCACAAGAAAAGGCAATGAACTGGAGATGACCAGAAGTGGTAAATCAGGTGTGAAGATTTTCATGGTCTCTCTGTGCTCCCCAACCTTTGCCTACCTGGACAGGAAGAGATGGTACACACAGGCCCCTCATCCACTTGGAACTAACTTTGAGTAAATTCTTTTTCCCTTTTTACTAAAATATATGACCTTCTTTGATATAGTCAGCAGTGAGCAAAGGAACCTAAGCCTATGAACCTAAGTGGCTAAGAACAAAATGCCTCTGTGTTAGCATTCTTACAACTGTCCATTTACCAAATTGCTTAAGGCTTTGTTTTTTGTTTTGTTTTGTTCATCGGTAGATTGGTTGTTTGGTTCGTTTTTGGAAAGCAAGGTCTTGCTATGTAGCTCCAACTAGCCTTGCAGTCGCCCTGTAATCCAGCTGGCCTGGAACTCTGTAATCCTCGTGCCTCAGACTCCTGAGTGCTGCAGTTATAGGAATGTACCTCACACCCAGCTCACTGAGGTTTTCCCTTTATAGTTTTTTAATTTTATTTAAAAGGAAAAAGAGAAAAACACTAGACAAAACAAAGCAGTATAAGGGTACAAGTAATACAGAACTACAAAAAAAAAAAACAGTAAGAAATCACCAGTTAATAGATTACATATTATCATCTTAGAGATAGTTGCTCAAATCACAGTATCAAAGCATACAAAGTGGACATTCAAACAGTGAGACTGCAAACAGTTGTGTTCAATGATCCAACCAAAAACATTAATATGGTCAGCTATTTAACACCCCTAAACACACTTGCTGTTGTATCCTTTAGAGCTCTTTTTTTCCCTCTCTTTTTTACAACAAAATTTACACATTTTGGGTTTTATTACTCCTTAGTTCTTATTACTTTTTTGGGGAGGGAGAGAATAAAGTCAAATATGGCAAAACAAAGCTGTCAGTCAAAACCAAGGATAGACATAGCACATGATGTAAAACAGAGTACAAGGTTATCAACAATGGTTATCAACAATGTCTCTTGTTTCCTTAAAAAGAATTGTCTATCTCATTAGATATTATAAAGTTGAACAAAACAGTAGAGAACAAGACCAATAAAACTTAAGCATTGTAAACATTACAGGACTTCCAAAGGAGACAATAGTCAAACCAGAATGGGCATCTTAGTGAATCTTATTGCCTTCAAAGTAGTTGCCTATACCCTCAAACTTGATACTATCATACAGAATGGAACAGAGACTAATCAGTCAAAACAAGATTGTGGGAGTATTACAGGACTTCAAAACAAGTTAATAGGAAATCAAAAAAAGTTACTATTATATATCCTGCTAATTTTTTAAATTTTTCCCCTTAATTAAAAAAACATAAGAAATAACTAAATAATTTTTTTAATGAATAAGGGAGAGATTGAGATAAAACAGGACATAACAATATAACAATACAGGTCAAAGCATGACTGTTTCAGCAACCTAGTGCTTCACCACCAAATAACCCGACTTAATAGTAGTTACCATAGTGTCTGTCTTTTTCCTTGAAATATTTGAATAAAACTTCACATACTATAGCTTCAAATATTTCCATATCAAGAAGCCCAGAATAAAGCCTTTCCAATTAATAAGTGAAAATTTTATAAGGCTTCAAGGCCACATAATGGGGAATCATGATTTGAATCATTACTTACATTAGGGAAACTATTTGATATTCACACATGCGAGATTGATTTATTTCAGAGGTTTTCCCTTTAATACATGACCTAGAAAGACACTGCAGTTATCGATTTACTTTTGTGTGCAAGAGTTCTTTTCTTTTCGTACTAACAAACCAAGCAGTTTTTACTTACCTTGTAAATGTTTATAACTTTGATTTCTTATGATCTTCTCACTGTCTGTAGAATATATAGTGATCTCTCCTGATTTTGTTAATTCAGCTTCTCAATCTTTTTCCTTACTGATCAGTCTGGCCATCCATTTCTCAGCTTTGTTGATTTTCTCAAAGAACTAGTGTTTGCTTTGCCTGTTTTGTTCAGCTGCTTCTTTCTGTGCTATTTCAGTGATTTCCACTTTAGTCTATGTCATTTCTTCTGCTATTTTTGGCTTAATTACATTTTCTGTTTCCAGTATCTTAAGAGGGGAAAACAGTGATCTTTGACTCCATGCTGACTTAGGAAATAAACGAATACATGAAAGAAGTGTGGGAAAGGCTTGGTCTCCTCCTGCTGCTGCAGACCCTGTGCTACTGTTGTCAGCTGTGAGGTGCAGGAGTCTCCTTCTCGAGGTGGTTTCTAGGTTCTTTTGTCCCAGACAAAGAATTGGTCAAACGAGCAAAAAGGTAGTGAGGTTTCACATTTATTAAAGGCAGGAAAAGAAATGTGCTTTGTAGATGATGTTGGGCCAATTAAAAGTAGGAAAAAGTGTGCTGTTCAGGTGAAAGGGGACCCCTGGGAAAGAGAGAGTGCAGTGGCCAAGAGCACAATGGTGGCCATCTCTGTATCTCCAAATCCTCAGACCAGTGTCAGGTCTAAGCCATCCTATTAAAAACCCACCCAAATTCTTGAGAAAAGAACTGAAAATAGCAACTTCTTATTGGTTTCAAGTGCAGGGCTTTTGGAAAATGTGTACATGTTTCCTGGAATACTGTGATTGACAGCTCACACCCACTTTCTCAGTCAGTTTGCCACACTCCGATTTCTGGCTTCAATACAAGTAGCTTCTCAAGGGGATGTAAGTGGGAGGGGCTCCAGGAGAGACCGGAAGAGCTCTCCTCTGCCCTCTGCAAATATTGCCATGAAGCAAAGTAAGCAAAGAAGCTGGAACCTAGAGAGGTTGCAGAGGATGTACATGTCACTGACAGAAGTAGATCACTTTTAGAGAACTTCAAAGAAAGAAGAACAATCCCATTAGGTGTCTGGAAGAAGAGTCAATTATTGGCGAACCTTACTGACCATCACACTGGGACTACAGAAATTTCCAGCCCAATCTGTACCATCATATGTGCTCATCTTTTGGGTTTCTTATGAATAACAATCAGTGCTGTTTCTGGGTTCACTGGCCCAAGCAACAAAACAGGTCAACTCGGCAGATGGAGTCAGGAGCACATAAGACCAGAGCATGTGATTGGTGAAGATGGCCTTATCTAGAGCAAGTTGGACCATGTTTATGTATACTAGCAACAAATTGGAGACAACCCACATGTTAATCAATAGAGGACTGGCTTATATGATGTTCTTACAAATAGCGGAAATTACTCATTTACACATTCACATAATACCTAGTACATGTCAGGCACTTTTCTAAGCACTGAAGACAGAGCAGTGGCCATTAAAACATCACCAAAATGAAATGCAGCCATTGAAACAGAGGAAGTATGTCTGTGCGTACTGATGTGGAAGGGTACCTGAAGTCCCTAAAATGAAAACTCATGCAGCAGAGTGACATGCATCATATAATTCAATGTGTGAGAAATTCTTGCACACACATACAATCTTGTGGAGGTTGTCTCTTGATTACCTGTTTGGGAGATGGTTAAGATAAGAAAAATTAATTTGATATTTGTGTTCATCTGTTGTTACCTGAGCATGTTTTGCTATATATAGATTTCATGTAATTTATTGCTATTAATTTTATTTGTCTTTATAAAATAATATTTTTATTAAATTACTACTATAAAAGAGATTTAACTATGTTACAAAAAGTGTATTTGGCTGCTAAAAAAAGGACAGAAAGGAGGTAGCATCTGGAACAGGGTACCAGGTTAAGGGATGATTTGCCTAAAGGAGAAGGTGAAGAGAAGGAGGTAGACTAGGCTGGTTGAGAGAACAGAGGAAGGTTTTCCTGACAAAACCATACGGGATAAAAGCTAGAGATCAACTGGGAGAAAATGACCTGAAGTAAAATTATAGACATCTCCATTTCATGGGAAGGTAAGAGAAAAACAGTTGTTTTATTAGTCACTTTTCATTACTGAAGCAAAATGTCTGACATAAACAGTTTAAGTAGGACTTCAGAGGTTTCAATCATGGTCAGTTTAGCCCTCATGTTGGAAATGCATGGCGGAGGAAAACTGCTCAACTCAAGGTGTTCAAGAAGCCAAGAGCAGAGTAAGAACTGAGAGGAAGGAGCCAGGGACCAATATAATTCCCAAGGTCACATCTCCATGACTCAGCAAGGCAAACCCAGGGTTATACTCTACTGGTATCCTTTAGTGATCTCAAGGCAATCAGCTGGACAATCAGGATCAACTTTTCCAAGTTTGGTACTCTTGGTTGTCTATCCAGGGAGTTTTTTTGGCATCTAGTCCCCTAGATGTAGGAGGGAAGGGCATCTTAAAGATGGGGAAAGAGAAGTAGGAAAGTCTGCATTTCAAGAGAAGAAGACAAGCCTTGGAGATGCTGTCGCAAGTTTACAACCTGATTAAATAGAGTTAGAAATATCAGAGCATGTGTGGGATGATGAGCATAAATGTGGAATGCTACCTGCCGCTTAATTTCATGCTTTCTTTTCAGAGCTTTGTTGGCTTTCAATAGCAGTTCCCAGTTCACTCAGGGCTACATTTTGTCAGATATGAGGAAAGGATAAAAGGACAGAGATATTCAGTAAACTGACAGAAATTGAAATGGTGCACAATTGCCTCAGTTGGGAAGGAAGGAAAGAATGAAAAGAGAAGCTGGTGAATGGTCAGCCTGAAGAATAATATTCAATAGTAAAAGATTATTGATAAATAAACAAATAAATTGGAAAGGCCAAATTTCACAGTCACAAAGTGGAATACACATAGAATAGTGTGCCAAGCAGTGACAAAATCTAGGGAAGAGAGGGAGTGGGTGCTCCCTAGGAAAAGTACAGTATCACTGGAGGCTTGGGGCTCACAGGACTGAAAGCCCAGGCTCTGGCTAAGGTCATTTCCTAACCTCAAGTCTTGAAGTTAGGAAACAGCAATGTCAGGGAAGGGGTTTGTATTTGGCAAGGAATAATTTAGTTCTTCCTGAGTCCCCGAGTAGACCGCTATTTATGGCCACCCAAGTCCCTGCATGATATCTAATAATAAGATCCCTGGCTCTCTGGAGATCAAGGCTCCTTGCTGTAGCCCCTGCCTTGTGAGACCTAAAATTCCACTACTGGCTCCTGGACTGACTGATCAGTGCTCCAGACCCTCCAGAAGGGAAGGCTCGGACATTTTGCAGCAAGTCTGTTTCTTTTATCATGCCTCTTGCTAGATTTAGTTTATAAACTGTGCCTCTTCACTGCCATTGGAAAATATGGTCTCAAGAGAGGATTGAGCCTACCCCTCCAGGAGGTGGCAGCCCTAGAGGGCTAATCAGCAGAGGCAAGACTGGAGGTATTTTCTCTTTCACACAAGCCTTGCTTTGCATAACTTTCCCTGTTACCCTCTAGGGCTGCCCTACTCCAAACTGGAGAATTTGCATGGCGAGTAATCTAAAGTAATTGCAAGGCTTATGTTGTGATTTTTAAAAAATCTTTTATCAGTAATATGAGTTCCTGAAAAGAGTGAAAGTAGTAGTTCTTCTGACGTCCTGCCTGACACCGAAGGAGGAAAAACAACTTGCCATTCACACAAAACCTGACAGCTTGCTCCCAAAACACAGAATGACTATGAACACTGTTTGGAGTATGTCTAGCCTGGATCTTTACTAATGTATTATTATGTTTTGTTTTGTTTTGTTTTTACCAAAATAAGGAGAATTTTGGTAACATGGGACTGAATTTTTACCCAGAATTTATTCAGGGATAATCCAAACAATTAGAGTACACTTCTAAGATGTTGATCAGGGCCCAGGGAGACTCTGATGGCATGTTACAATTGATAAACTTCAGCTCACCACCGTCTGCAACATATGTGCTCAGAGTAGGCAGGCCTGATAGAACCTGCTCTGTGTTTTAGGAAAAACATCACACTAAACTTTATAATACAGCAACTCCCCTCAGGCCATATAATACTGGAAATACATGAATAGCCTCAGTAGCTGGCCACAATTTGCCCTTCAGTTTTATCATGTAGTAAGTTAAATAACAGAATGCTTCCTGTAGTGTAAGTTCTGGCATCCTTGAATGTCACAGCTAAGCACAATAGCAAGTGTATAAATGAGATGTCACTCAGGTTTATAGTTACAGGAGGATGTGTTCTTTTAAATATAGGTAGATTAGTTCAGCAGCCCAGCACCTGCCTGGCAAGTGCAAGGTCATGAGTTTGATTCCTGGTACAAGACACACACACACACACACACACACACACACACACACACAAAGAGAGAGAGAGAGAGAGAGAGAGAGAGAGAGGTAACTCAGGGGAAATCTCCTTTTATGTTTTCTGTTAAGCTTGTATCATTTAGTTGAAGAATAAATATATTATACCTACATTTTTACAAATACTCCTGTGATTAATGACTAAATCTATGAATTGGGCATACAATACAAAATCTTTTCACATTAAAATAAGTAGACAGCTTTTGATATTAAAATAAGTTTAACAGTTAATGTCAATACTGAGGACATTATTTAAATAATATTAGAGAAAACACAAATTGTACTCAACAAATATGTTCACAATTACATAATTTTACAATATAGAGCAATAAATTATATTGTACCAAAGTGGTATCTTTTCTATAATTGTTTGATAAAGTTGGCACTGATGGTAAGCATGATGACCTTTAATAACTGTACTGACTTATTTTATTTCATTTAACCCATAGTACTTTAAAAAATTCATAAGAACGCACCAAAGCAGAATGAGGAAAATGTGAACACTGTTCTCTCTTGATAAAAAGAAAAACTTCCAAATCATGTTATAATAGGCAATTAGTTTAGATAGAAATTAATAAATTAATCAAAGAGGGACTGGGCTCTCTAGGAAGTCAGTAAAAAATAAAGACATCAGAACTGTGGCTGGAGGTACCTCTAAGGAAGACCAGACCTGCAGATACAGATGAAATGACCAGGCCTACATACCTTCTTAAGGGATTATATTATAATTAGCACCACTTGGTCCAGGAGGTCC